TAAGACTGCACCCCAAAGTGTCTAGCAAACCGTGCCCTTTTATTCCTGAGGAGTGAAAGCCTCTTTATTTGAGGTGGCCTTCTCCCTGCTGCCCAGTTTGGAGTAGAGTCTCCTGGGAGTGTGTGATCTGCACACCCCTGACGTCCCCCACCCACCGCCCATGAGAGAGCTCTCTTCAGGATGCACATCCACTAAAAACCAGGTTAATTGTCACGGTGCTTCAGATTATGTAACACTGAAGTCTCTTTTTCATAACATTCAAAGAGCTTTCTTACCTACCTTCTAATTTGACTCATAAATGCCCTCTGCAGCAGGAAGGTGGGGGCTAATTCTCCCATTTTAACAGACGGGAAACTGAGTTCTGGAGAGTGGTATGTTGGCCAGAGCCACACTCTGAGTCAGGTGTAGAGTCAAGACTAAGACTCAGGGCTCCCAACTCCCAGGGGCCTTTTGAGGGTTACAGTCAAGCTTTATGTTATTCCCTTCAAACTGACCTACTCTTCGTTCCCTCAACAGGGCTAGTGGTAGTGAATCATTACCTAGCATTTCAGTTTTTTGCGGAGGAATATTACCCTTTCTCAGAGGTAAGAAGCGTTCAGTACATCAAACAGGGCGGGGAGTAAAGGGGACTTGCATGATTTGCTCTGTGAACTCAGCTGTGATTTGAAACTGAGTCTATTCAGGGATAACACATTTCAGAAACACACAGCATAGGTGATTTTAGAGAGCAGTGTGGACGCGGAGCAGGGATCCTTTTGGCTGAGGTGGGGAGGACACTACCCCGCCGTGAGTCCTTTGGGTCTCCCAGGATCCCAGCCTAACACCCTGAGGTCAGGAAGGGGCCCTGGGGCAGTGTTGTCTGACGCAGACCTCACAGGGCTGGGGTGGGCTGCAGCCCTGAACCCCGGCTCCTCCGAGGGGCCGGCCAAGGTTCTCTCCTCTCAGGATTTCTCCACACCTTGCTGTTCCAGTTTGAAGCCCTGGGGAAGAAGAAGGTCACTTCTTTGGGGAGTGTGGGTCAGTCATGGTTTTGCCCTCCATCTGTCTTCTTCAGTTCAGAGGAGTTGCTTGTCCTAGTGACCTAGATTTGGGGATTGTGGCCACACTCAGTCATCTTCAGCCTCTGCCTTTCCCTGCTGAGTTATTCTCATGTCTGAGGATGTCCTGTCTTTGCTTTCCGGGCCTGGGCCCCCTTCAGAGATCAGGTGTGGGGTCTTCTGTGCACTCTTGACCACCTCTCTAAGATACACGGTGACCACGCCCAGCCCATCCTGGCACCTCCAGGGGCACCCTCTTCTCAGTGTCTCTTGTTGCCAGGTCCTGGCCTATTTCACTTTCTGTCTGTGGATAATCCCATTTGCGTTCTTTGTGTCACTGTCGGCTGGGGAGAACGTCCTGCCCTCCACTGTGCAGCCAGGAGGTGAGAGGGGTTTGTAAGGGGTCGTGGGGGGAGGACGCCAGCAAGGCCTGAATTGGCTGGGGGAGCCAGAGCCCAGCCCTGTGGTGGAGGCACTTGGGCTCCGGGTGGGGAGAGCTGTGTTCACATTCACACGCACACACACACACACTCATCTCCCTGCCTGTGTCTCCACAGATGACGTGGTCTCCAATTACTTCACCAAAGGCAAGCGGGGCAAACGCTTAGGGATCCTGGTTGTCTTCTCCTTCATCAAAGAGGCCATTCTACCCAGTCGTCAGAAGATATACTGAGCCCCTTGGGGAGGGGGTGTGGGGGCAAGATCAGGAGAGTCAGGCCCTGGGCCTCTGCACTAGGTTGGGCTGTGAGCCTGGGAGACACCTTCCCCTAGCCCTGGCCCTACTTCCCTTGATTCTCCCTGAAGCCCCCATCCCCACCCTCAGGAGGCTCAGCTTGGCTCATTTCTGATGCTGCTAGAGGCTGTGACCTCAGAGGGCACCAGGGAGGGTGGCAGAGCCTGCTTAGCAGGAGGTCATAGTCCACCTGGTTGTGCAGAAGCTGAGCTCCCTCTGGCCCTCCCCGTCCCCTTCTGTGATGGGTCAGGAGGATCTGGCTCAGCCAGGGCAGCCAGGGCAGGAGCCGTGAAGCTGGAGAGCAGACAGTGATAAGTCCTCTGGGCAGATGGCCCTGGGGACGGGCCATGGCTTGGCACTTCCAAGAGAAATAGATTTTGCTGTTGAACTGTGATTTCTGTCCAAGTGCTGATTCTCATTTGAATAAAGATTCTAGGTGGCACTGTTTGCCTTAATGCCCTGAAAGTTCATCTTCCTTTCTTCCTGCCCATCTCCTGCCCTGGACTGGACTGGCTTTTCTGCTCCAGGGGCTCCTTTTCTGGGTTTGGGTCTTGCCCTTCTGAAGGGACTGTTCTTGTGGCCCTTAGAGGAAGGGGGCAGAGAGGAGGAGCTGAGTCTGGTCAGGGGGTGGGGGTTCGGGGTGGAGGCAGCCTGTCTTATGCCTCTCCTTTTTCTTCTCTCTCTTCTTTTCCCAAGGCTCTGTGACTGTCAAGCTGGGGGCAGAGAGGGGACAGTTTGGGACTGGGTTAGATTTTCAGAAGAACATCTACAATATCCTATTTATGTCTTCCTTTGGGGAAAAAGCAGTGGTTTCTGGCTGAATCTGTCTCAGGCTCAAGGAGAAACAAAATAAAAATTGACTTCCAGGCAGCCTGGGCTACAGCCTCTTTTGTAAGAAATGGGACTGGCAGGAGGAGCTGCTTGTCACTCAAAGAGCTCACAAGGCCTGGCCCTGTCTCCTGTGTGCTCTTGGCTCCTGGGGAGATGACTCAGTCTTCCAAGAAGGCCAGCCAGGTCCCCGCACAGACCAGCATTGTTGACCTTGCACCCCAACTCCAGTGCCTTGCAAGTACTCAACTGTACAGACTGGAGTACAGTCCCCGTGAGAGCCGTTACTGGCCGTGTCCTACACCTCAAAGCGAGGCTGGCAGGTGCAGAGATGGATTGCACTCATGTGGTACCTTTAAGCCACTGGGAAGACCCCTGTGCTTGAAAATCTTTCCTCTGGTCCTGCCTCAGGTCCCAACATAGCCCTTCATTTCCTTGGCTTTAGCATTTCCTGTTCTCTTAAAAATAGCAGCCTTCCCCTTCCCTGGGAGGAGCAGCACATTTTCGTCTTCTTGGTGGGAATGAGATTGCCAGGCCCTTTTATCCTGTGCAGACAAGGGGGGACAGGATAGAGGACACTGGGGGCCAGCGTCATCCTCACTTCTGGGCCAGCAGCTGGCCCTGTTCTCCCTTGCTGTCCATTTCTTTGATCCTCGTCCCAATGATGTGGCTTCACCCCCTCTGTTCACTGCACTGCCGTGCTCTCCCAGGGGTTGCCAGTGGCCTTGTGCCAAATCCAGCAGACCCTTCTGATAGCCTTCTGGATCTCTGCAGCACCCGACAGGGCTGATCACCCCCAGCCTCTTGAGTCGCACTTCCCTGGCACTTCTGTGGCTGGTTCTCCTCCTACCTCTCTGGCTGCTCCTCTCAGTGTCCTGTGCCAGCTTCTCCACTCGCCCCATGCACAATGGGGTTTCTCAGGGTTCTGTCGTGGGCTCCCTGGAGGAGCTCCTCCACGCTGATGGCTTCAAGGACTCTGCCAAGGAATTGAGAGTTGACCTCCAGCCCCCAGCATCCCTCCTGGTCGTATGAACCACAGTTCTGCTGCCTTTGGGTGCACAGACAACTCTCCTGGCCCGGATGGCACTTGTGGCTGTCCTCTGCAAACCTGCCTTTTTTTGGTACCTGCCGTGGCCCTAAGATCACTCAGGAGCCAGACCAGAAACCTGCTTTCTATCCCTGCTTTCTCTTTCTGCCCCTCACATCCAACCTCTAAAAACTGTCAAGTTTACCTTCTTAACATCTCTTAATGTGAACCACTCCCACTGTCATCAGCTTTCACCTGGATTATTGTGATAGCCTCCTGCTTCTCTAACCCACAGCCAGAGTTGTCTTTCTAAATTGCATAGTTGATCAAGTCACTCCCTGGCCTACAACCTTCCATGGCTCCCCACTGCCCTCAGAGTAAAGTCCAGACCCCTTAGCATGGCTCGTGAGACTCTAGTGTCCTGGTTCCTGCTCGCCTCTCTGGTCTCAGCACTTGCCACCTTGCACTCTGCGTCCCAACCTCCTTTATCCAGAGATGCCACTTTGATTCCCCTTTCTTCTGCTCTGAAGGCACCTGGGTACCTTCCCTGTCAACTCTCAACTTAGATTTCACTTCCTCCCAGGAGCTTTGAGTGTCCCCTCTCCCGCCAGCATGCCACACAGATCACCCTGGGCTTACTTGCTACCTTAGCAGTCTGCCTCCCCACTAGACTGTAAGCTCCTTGAGGGCAGGAACTGTCCTTCAATTTTTGTATCAACAGTGCCTGGCTTGGTGCCTGGCACATAGAAAGCACTAAATAAATGTTTGTTTAATGAATGATTTGTAGTGATGTGTGCGGGGGATAGCAGGGGATCCAGGGTAGCTTCCTGGAGGAAGTACGAATGCTTTCATAGTCTCAAACTGAAGCTGTAGGTCTGTCCTCCCTCCCTCCCCCACATATGCTGCCTGTGCCTCCCTGAACTGCAGAAACCCCAGTGGCAGCTAGGAATGAAGGATGGCAGCCCATAGTGGCAGGGAAGCCCTTGGCAGGGTGACACATTAGCTGTTTTCCACTCCATTCTGGATCTGGAGACGAAGAGTGAAGCTTAGAGCCTGCAGCAGGAAGGACTTAATCTGAACAAGAGGCAGAATTTCCCAGTGGTCCCTCATCCTAGAAGCTTTGTCCCTGGTGGGCTGTTGGGTTGGGGTAGGGGGCAAAGGGGACACCAAAGTGTTACTTGTAGAATGCTAGGGCCCAGGATAGAGACTGACTCCCACTCTGAGCCTTGGGCCGCTGCCCTAACTTGGATCTCCTGGAGGGTCCAACAGATTCTTTGTGGAGAGAAGGGAGACCTGGGGTCTGGGCTTTTGTTGAGGGGAGGGGGCTCCGATCCTTGAGCTTGGGAGTGGGAAGCCTGTGGACAGTCCTCCCCCTTCCTCACCATCCACATACGAGTTGCCACACCTCAGCCTTCATTGGGCTGCCTCAGGTCCAGAGGCTACCAAAATAAGTTTATGGGGGGGTTTGGGGGAAGGACAGAGTGAGGAGCCCTTGATGGGCTTGCACAGCTGCCAGGAAGGCTTCATCAAATGTCTCACGCAGGTTCATGGCTAGAGTATCAGTCCAGAAGGTGTCTTCGCCGAAGTGCCGCTTCCGGGGCACGTCCCTCATGCTGACAGAGTAAAAGCCCTGGGGCACCTTCATCCTGTACGGCTGCACTGAAGGGTACAGCTGGCGGACTATCACCTCGAAAGGCAGCCGGGGAACAGGCGCCACCGAGTGGCCGGCCACCGTGCGCAGGCGCGCGCCGCCGTGCCCATTGGACCTCACCTGGAGGAAGCTGTGGAAGTCGTGCTCTGGCCTGGGGTCTGGATGCACGCCCAGGCGGATGCCCTGTGGGTAGCTGATCTGGATGCTGGGGGATCTGGCAGGGTTGTTGCTAAGATTCCACAGCTTGGGTCGGCTGACCATGGGCCGCGTGTAGATGGGCCTGGGCATCACCAAGGGTGGCAGCTTGAGCTGCAGTGTCTGTCGCAGGCGTGCCTCTGGGGAGGGGTGGAAGCTTTTGGGAGGCCACAGTCCCCGGTGCTTGGTCTTGGAGAGGGTGATGGCCCGGGGTGGAGCATGGGGCTCTTGCTCAGTGTTGCCCATTAGAGATTGGCCTCCGGGCAGCAGCTTGCGATGGAGCCACTTTTTGAAGTCAGCTTCTCTCAGGCTTTGGTGCTCTTTCTGCAATGTCAGAGGGCACAAGATAGTTGTGGAACGCTACTCCCGCTGTGCTTCTGTGGAAGGAGGCCCTGTGGCTATAGCCCTTGGAAACCTCAGGTCTGATTGGCCAGATACAGTCCTGCCCCAGCGGAGCCCTGAGTCTGATGGGAGAAACTCTGGCCTTATGGGAGCCTTCATTCTGATGGGGAGACGATTGCCCAAAGGGAGCCCCTGGGCTGATGGGGCAGATAGAGCCTCTCTCATAGAGGGGGGTCTCCAATCTGATGGAGAGACAGCCTCCATCCTAGGTGAGGCCTCCAACTTGAGGGGAGAGACACAGTTCCTGCCCTACAGAAAACCTCCAGTCTTATGGGGGAGACAAGCCTGCACCCCACTAAAGGAGTCCTCAGTCTGATAGTGGAGGCATGTCCTGCCTCCTAAGAGAGTGTCTGGTTTGATGGGGGGAAAAGGCAAATGAGATGTGCAAACTGCACACTTGACCCTGGAAGGAGAAAGCAGAAAGGCTTGGAAAGCCTGGAACTGGGTGCAGCAACTCTAGGCAGGCTTCTTGGAAATGGTCAACGTTGAGCACTCATGTAGGGGGGATACAGTTGGCTGGCTCTCCAGGCTGGGTGGTAATGACTCGGTCTGTCTCTCTGTTCTTGCCTCCACTAGAGTTGAATCTTCAACCCTCAGCTTCAAGTTGAGCCTCCACTAGACTTGAACTGCCCCATTCCAACCCACTTGTCTCAGTGTCGCACTTCCCAGACTGTTGCTGAGCAATCTCAGGTGGTTTAGAGATTGACCCAGCTCCAGAGGTAGGCTCTGATTAGGCTAAGCTAATCATAATAATTCCATCAGCCTTGCCCTAGACCTGGGTCAGGCAGCACATGGCTTTCCTTTAGCTCTAGGGATTGGAACAAGAATGGACATATGATCCAATTGAGGCCAATGAGCGATGAGGGGAGATCTGCAAAGGGCTTCTGGGAAAGTTGAGAGCCACAGGAACAGATGGGCTTTGCCTCCTCTGGACACGTGTGACTTTGAGGACTAAGTGACACCGACAACAGAGGAGGGTAGGGCTGAGAAAACTGGCAAGAAGTGCAGCTGGAACAGAGCTGGAGTACTGGATTTTGCCAGCCCCGAAGCCCTCCCCACTTCTGGATCCACTTAGGATTCCCAGCATCTACTTTCTGGGCTTTCCAGTTCTTGCATCCTATGTAATTATACCTGCTTAAAATCCTTTAGTTACTTCCCTCCTTCCCCATCCAAGGTCTGTCATTGATCTGGGCCCCTGCCAAATATCTAGCTTGTCAATCTCCAACTCACATCTGACCCCCTCGCTGTACTGAATTTGCACTTCTCAGCATACACTATGCTTCCATGTGCCTCATGCCTCTCTATACCTGGTCAGCCCTTCCCTACTTCTTCATATGGCCCACTGCTGCCCATCTTTAAAGACTCATCTTAAGCATTACTCCTCTGGCACCCCCCTGAACCCGCTCCTCCTCTATGGGAATATAACCCACTTCCCCTACTAGACTCTAAGTTCCTTGAATGAAGGGACCACATCTCATTTGTCTTTGGAGCTTCAGGGTCTAGCAGGTGCCCAGCAGAGTGAGTGCTCAGGGTCTGTTGGAAGGATGGATCTTTTTAACCAGTGTGTCCCAATATAGGCAGGGCCTGAGTCTCGTTAGAGATTCTCCTCATCCAGAAGGAGGCAGTGCACTAGGAGGGGCTCTGTAAATACTTGCTGATTTAAGCTATATTTGCTTTCTAACACAAGACTTTTGACCTAAAAGAGTGGCTTATAAGGGTGGAATTTCAGTCAGAGGAGGAGGAGAGGCAGGCTCTTTCTGGATGGGACTGCTTCTAGCCACTCTTCTGACTAACTGCACGGGTGTCCCTGCCTCCTCTATTTATGTGCCTGGACAGCAGCAGATGCCTGGCGCCCCTGCCTGCCCTCTCCCTTACTTGATATTCAGTCAGGTAGTCCTGCTCCATGAGGGTCAGCTGGTCCTTCAGCCTCTTCAGTTTCCCCATCTCACGAGCAAAGTTCTTCTTGTCCCATTTCCACATAGCATCCTTTAAGAACCTGGGGCCAAGGTGGGGGTGTGTCATCCCCCCCTGACTGAGCTTCAACCTGGGCTGGGAAGACTGGCTGCTGCTGAGGGCCTGGATGGGGATGGGAGGAGCTGCCAGAGACAGGGTTCCCACTGCCCAAGGCCCCTCTGGCTAACTGCTTCTTTAGAGGTGAGAGGAAATCACCACCCTCCTGCTGAGTAGCCAGGGTCTCAGGGCAAGGAAGATGGGCAATGCTGAGTCCACAGGGGCCAGCCCTTGTGGAAAGCCCTGGGAATAATATCCTGGAAGGGGCCTCCTCAGCAGACTTGTCCCCTAGCCATCTGGCTTCCCAGACCCTCCTTTTAAAGGCTCAGCCTTGGGCGAGGCCCTAGGGGAAGGGCTGGCAGGGAAGGGATGGCAGGCTGTGGGTGGTTCTCACCCTCACCGGGCACAGATGCGGTGATTCCATATTTTGCAGTAGTCGATGGGCTTGCAGCCCATGGCATCCCGGGCGTGGACATTGGCGCCATTTTCCACCAGGACCTTCACACAGCTCAGCAGGCCCTCACGGGCTGCCAGGTGCAGGGGCGTGGAGCCGTTGCATGTCCGACTGCGGAGGGCCCCGGCAAGGGGAAAAAGGGCAGAAAGGAAGGACAAAGGGCATCTGTCCATCAGATAGGTGGGCAAACCAGCTTCCAGGTCTGCTCTGCCACCAGCCTGCTGGGTGATCCTGGCATGTCCCTTCTCCTCTCTGTGCCTCAATTTCCTCGACTGTAGAAGGAGGGCTTGGACTACATGAACAGTAAAAGTCTGATTCTGGTGACATATGACAGTTAAGAACTGCTAGAAGGAGAGCTGGGTTGGCTAGAGCTCAGAGACCACTAACCTCATCCACTCTTAAATCAGCCAGCCCTCCTGCCCCTTCCCCGTGCCTGGCTGTGGCCCACAAGGCCTGCATGACCTGGGCCCTGCCTCCTCCTCAACCTCATCCTCCAGACTTTGCCCCACTCTTTCCCAACGTGTGGCTTTTGCACATGATGTTCCCTCTGCCTGGAACTTCTTCCTGGCTCTTTGCATGGCTAGCTCACTCTTTGCAGGTTCAATTTGAATGTCACCTCCATAGGGGTAACTGCCTCTTCCAAAACATATCCTCTCCCTGCCCCCTTTACTCACCACCCCCTACTCTGTTTCCTTCATAACCACTTACTACGTTCTGTCATTTTGTTCATTTATTAGTTTGCTAATTTACTGTCTGCTGCACTAGTATATCAGCCTCACGTGGGCAAGGACCATTTCTGTGTGTTCACGGCTATATTCCTCAACTCTGGCAGGATACTGAGCACAGTGCATGCTCCATGAATATTTTGAATGGATGCAGCCTCCCAAATGCCATCTATGCACTTTCCATGCATTTTTCGATTATCACAATAGTCTCATGTGATTGGCACTGTCATCCTCCCGAATTGCAGTTGAAGACATGGAGGAAATAGTTCCCAAACTTTGCTGCAAATTAGGAACACCTGGGGATCTTTTAGGCCTTCCAAAGCCCAGGCCACACCCCAGACCAATGACATTACAGCCTTTGATTGGAGCACAGGCATTGGTATTTTCGAAACTCCCCAGGTGATTCCAATGTACTGACAGGTTTGGGAACCTGAGGCTTAGAGTTGAGCGACTTGCCTGAAATCTCACTGTTCACTAGCAGGTGGCAAAGCTGGGACATCAACTAGGTCTGTCCTCTCCCAAGGCCCGATCTCTTTACTACACCACGTGGGCTCCCTGACTGCTTTATGTGGGACCCAATCCTTGTCACCCCACAGCCCCTCCCCCTGTGCTGCATGGATCTGCCTGCCTGGAAAGGGAGTTCCTATCAGCCCAGCCTCCAAGCCACTCTTCAAGTCAGGCTGGACTCACGTGTTAAGGGCCGCCCCTTGCTTAAGCAGATAGTGAATGCAGGGGAGGGCTGTGGTCTTGTTGTTCCTGTGGATGACGAGGTGCAGGGGTGTCTGGCCATTGTTGGTGGGCAGGTTTACTGGAAACTTGTACTCCTCTACCAGGACCTGCAGGCATGCCAGCTTGCCGCTCTGGGCTGCAAAGTGGATGGCAGTGAAACCCTGTGGGGGCCAGAGGAGAACAGGAAGAGGCTGAGCAAGATTGGGGCCCCAGGATCCACAACCTAACCTACACAGCAATTTCTTGGGGGTACCCTTCCCCTCTTCCCTGTGCCTCAAGAGTTGCGCACACTCCTTTCCCACTGCAGTATGTGCTCACCCTTTCTCGCTGCCCCCAAAATGGCCCTCCCACAGAAGGTGAATGAGGACGATCTACCCAGAAAAGGACATCTCCGGATGCTCCATAGTCAGATCTGCGCCAGGGCACCACTATGTGAGGAGCTCTTTGTGAGGTGGAGAGGACTTCAGACAAGGCCTTACCTTGTCGTCGGCCGGGATTTCCCCACGGTCCCGGTTCAGACAGAACCGCAGCCATTCCAGGTTGCCCAACGCGGCCGCGAACAGCTGGTAGTAGCTCCCGATCGCCCTCTGGTCCCCCTCATCGACGGGGCTAGAGGCAGTGCGGGGTAGGGGCGAAGTGAGCAAGGAAGCGGCCATCCCGGCTGGGCGGCCTGCGGGGGGCGCCGCGTGGGCGAGGGCGGCACTCGCGCCCCTAGGCGTTTGTGCAGCCCGGGCAAGGCGGGCTTGGTCGGCGGGCAATGAGAAGGCGACCTTCGTCGAGGGCCCCGGGCTCCTCTCAGGAGGTAAGCCGGGCCCCAGCCTGCCTCCCCGGGCTCCTCGGGCCGCACAACCGCCCCGGCCCGCTCCAAGTCCTGCCCTCCCGGGAGGCGCTGAGCGGGTTTCCCGCGCCCCGCAGCAGGGCCACCGAATCCCGGCCCACCTGGGCTGCTTGGACGCCGAGTCACTCCTGGTGACCTTCGAGACTTTCTCCGCCAGCTGCATGGAGACCCCGTGTTGTTAGCGGCGCTGCCCTCCCCGCCCGCCGAGAGGCACCGCCGCGCCCGCAGTGTCCCGCAGCTGCCCGCCCGCCGAGGCTCGACCGCGCTCCGAGCGCAGACCGCCAGGGTCCGGCCGCCTCCCTCGCTCAGGGGCAGAGCCGGGCGCCTCCAACGGCCCCTGCCGCTGCCCACACCGCCACCCCAACCGCCCAGGCCCTCTCGTCCTGGAAACTCCGCTTCAAACACACGCAACAAGACGAAAGACACCTAGCTTTTGTTTCTGATTATAAAATTTATAAGTGCTGATTGTAAAAAAAAAAAAAAACAAAGGACAACGAGGAAATTAAAAATCACAATCCCATCATCCAGAGAAATCAAGGTCTATTACGATACACATATCGTATATACATTTTGGACCTCTTTTCGTTTAGCGTTGTATTATGAGCCAGCTTCCACTGGCATCCGCAAGAACTGAAGGTACATTATGACGCAACCGAAGCCCAGCATCTAATGGATGCGCTGTCACTTCACATGCGGCGCAGAAAACAGAATGGCTGGTTGTTTTCTTGGGATGGATTCTGGAAGTAGAATTACTAGGTGAAAGAGAATGAACTTTTTTTGTGTGTGGGGAAAATTGGTCCTGAGCTAACATCTGTTGCCAATCCTCCCCTTTTTGCTGAGGAAGATTAGCCCTGGGCTAACATCCCTGCCCACTTTCTCTGTTTTTGTATATGGGACGCGGGCACAGCATGGCCGGATAAGCAGTGCGTATGTCGGCGCCTTGGGATCCGCACCCTCGAACTCTGGGCCACCAAAGCAGAGCGCACAAACTCAACCACTACGCCACCGGGCCGGCCCCGGGAGTGAACATTTTTAAGCTTAAGATATGTATTTCCAAACGGCCCTCCAGCAAGGTTTTATACCACTTACACTTCCTCCTGCAGCGATGCAGGTACTGCGCGTCAGCCGTGTGACTTGGGGCACGTTACTTGACCTGTGTCTTAGTTTCTGCATCTGCAAAATGGGGATTATGGTACTTCTGTCAACCTAAATAAGTAAACTGAGGCAAGCTCCAGAAAAAGGAATGAATTTATTCAGGAATAGCAGAGGAATTGAAAATCGGGGCAAGCAAACTACGGTGAACCATAGGCAAGTCTGAACAAAGGGAAGGTCAGCTTTTCTTAGGTTTCAGATGGAAACTGGGGCGGGAAGTTTCGAATAAAAGTTCACTGGAGAAGAACCAGAGTTCGAGGTTGTGGTGGTTTCTTACTGGCAGCAAACGGCGGTTCGTGAGTGTTGCTAGGACAGAGAGGGCTCTTCCTTTTCTTAAAAGCAGGAGATGAAATTCCCATGTGAAAAAGGTCCTCCCTTGCACCAGAAGAAAAGTGACATTCCCATCATCACGGATAAGAAGTTGAGACACAGAGAATTTTATACTAACAATTCTATACAAACAGACCCTGTTGTCTTCCTTCTTCCCGCTGGTTCTGCAGGCAGCAACGAGCGGTACATGCGTGAGAGCGCCCCCTTCAGGGCTTCCTGACTCCATTTTAAATGAAGTTTTCCTTTATTTTCACGTTTCCCAAGGAGGGAAGGAATGCGAGCGGTGGGACCGAGGCTAGCTGAATAAATGCTATCTACGAATTTGCTATTATTAAAAAAGGAACTATTCAAACCCTCACCAGCACTGGATATTATGATTTTAATAAACATTTGCTAATTCGGTAGTGGAAATGGTATTCTAGTTTGACTCTTTGATTACTAGCAAGAGTTAATTATCAGTGTTTTTCTCTTCTGGGAATTATCTGTTTATTCATTGTTCTTTGAGGGTCTTAATATGTTTCTTATTCATTTGTAAAACTTATTAGCATAGTAACCCTTTCTATATATTTGTTGTCAATATTTTCCTCAGTTTGCCTTTTAACTTTTTGCAGTATACAGTAGCCAAGCAGTGGATGTTGCTTGAATCAGTGTTGAGTGTTGCTGAACCATCCACATTCTCACGCCTTCTCAGGGGGAACAACCCCAAACTTCTCAGAGGGCTTCTGAGGCCCCAGGGTCAACTGTAGGCATACCTGACCGCACCACATACTTCTAACCACCTTCTCCTCCCTGTGCCCCAACATCCCAGGTATTTCCCCTGGGAAAATCTAAGAAGGAGGGGGGAAGTCTTTTAAGACCACAGTGACCTGCAGGGAGGGACAAAAATTCAGATTCTCCACCCAGAAGCACCTCTACCCCTTTCCACAAAAACCTCCTCTGGCAGCCCACTTGCCTCCCACCCCCAGTGGAAGTCAGCACCCCTCCCAAGCAGCTTAAAAACCAGCCAATCCTACGGGATCTCTGCCCCAGGTGGGGCCTTAGCAACTGGCTTCAAATTAAGATAAAGTGACAATGCTTTGCAAGGACAAAGTTTGAGGATTTCCTGGCAGCTGCAGGATTCTGGGGGCTGTTGCTTCTGGGGTATTAGGATCCTAATGATAACAAGACCCTATGTGTGTTTGGGGTTGGAGAGTGTGTCTCAGGACCTCTTCAAGTTCACTCTCATTATCTTCACCTGGGGTGTCTTGGGGTCTCTATAGCAGTAGTTACAACTCTGGCTGTACTATATTAGAATCACTTGTGGGGAAAATACCAATGCAGGGGACTTATGCCTATGGAGTCAGATTAACTGATCGGGTTTGGAGCCTGGGCATTGGTATTTTGTAAAGTTCTCTGGGTGATTCTCATGTGCAGCCATTCTTGCCTCAGTCCTCTTCCTGGGGAGGCAAGAGGCTGCAGGTGATCCTGAGAAAGGAAAGTCACTAGAGTGAGGCAGGATATAGGATCAGAGCAGAGTCTTTGGGAAGAGAGGATGCCGTTCCCTAAAGACCCCTTGGCTGGAGCCAGAGCCGCGAAGTTGGGCAGACAGACAGTGCCTGGTGGAACAACAGAAGCCAGACCACGGGGAGGGCAGACCGCAGAAAATGCCCAGAGAAACAGTTAATTTCCTCTCTGGAAGTGGATGGTAAGGATATGGCTCCTGAGAAACTGGTCTCTACTGCCCCCTAGCAAGGGAGATGGAAGGCTGAGGGAGGAGGCACACCCAGAGAGCAGTGGAGGCGGTGCCTCAGAGCCGGTCTCCACACTCCAGCTCCTCTTCCCTGTTCTCTGACCACCTCAAGATCCTTTGGAAGTTAAACTCTTTTGGATTGAGTTCCTGTCACTTTCAACTGAAGCCTGACTAGTAAAAAGCTCCTGAGGTTAAATCTTCTGTAGGAACAAATAATTGGGATTAGTGGGGTGGTCCCTGAAAGGAACTGTGTGGTCCAGAGCACTGTGAAACCGCAGGGGACACTGGAACCTCTTCCTGAGCTGTCTTCCCAGGGGTGGATGTGCACCCCAGGGAAATGGCCAAGTAAGTGAAACTGAAGAATTATGCTTTGAGTGCTGGAACCAGTTTGTTTGAGCAGGAGCACATCCTCACCTGGACTAGAATCAGGGGAGGCTGACACTTTCTCTGTGATCTGGCAGGGCCTAGCATGTCTCCTGAGGATGGTAGCAGGACAGGGGATCTTGGCTGCAAGCAGTCGAAGTCCTTGAGTGGCAGGTCTGGGTTCTGGCTTTGGTAGTAATGGGGTTGAAAACAGGACTGACCGACTTTTAGGTCAGCACCCTGGGGTATCCATTTGTAGTTGTGGGGGGAGGAATAATGCTACCTTGATGGGGTAGACACTCCCATCTGGGGGAGAAAAGAAGCTTGAAAGACAGGTCCTAATAGGTGGGAGAGAGAATGCCTGCCTCTTGAGACCAGATTTGGAGAAAGACAGGTCTCCAGGTTCCACCACATTGTGGGGGTGCAGATGGAGTCTCAAGACAGGAACCCCAGAGAACAAGTCATATCTCTTACACCAGATTTCCAAGTCGTGTGCCCATTTCCTTCTCTTCTTCCCAGGACTCCCAGTGAGTGTGCCAAATCTGAATGTGTCCTTTTCTTCAGCCTCAGAGCAATTCCAAGGGATCAGCAGAACCCTAGCTAGGCTGGCGTCTTCTCCCTTTCACCGAATGTCTCACAGATTGGCAATTATTGTGAGGCTCCTAGTTCCAACGAGATTATTTAATCAGACTAGCATCTGAATATCATGCTTAATTCAGATGATCCCAGAAGGGATCTAAAATGAAATTCCAATGTCTCTTGGATTGCTGAGACCTAGAATAAGTTTGTCTCAAATGCCTGTGCCCAACTTCCACTTCTGGAACAGTGGCATGAGGAGCTCTATGGACTTGATCCCCAGGAAACAAACGTAACTAGTAAAAATTATTTTACAAACCAACAGTTAAAGTCTCTGGAAATTGTCCTGAGAGCATACAGCAAGTGAAGAAACATTTATTCAAGACCATCTTCAGAATCTCAGTAAGAAGAGCAAAAGCCTGTGGCACCTAAGCCACAACCTGCTCTCTCCTCCCCTCTCCCCATCTCAGAGCAATGACTGAAGTTCTGATCCAGGTGGGTGTGGCTAATAAAATAGGCTCCCTTTCCCCTTAGCTCCTGGTGAAGAGATCTAGTATCTCATTGGGAGGAGCAGGCTGCCAGCATTTCTCATCATCGCTTCCCCGCTCAGCTCCAAGTTGTAGAGGCTGAATTCCTGGTGAGTGCAGCCAAGAGTTTGGGGGCTCCCTTCTTCCATCCAGCCCCCACTCACAGGGCAGAAGCATGACAGGCTGAAAATATTGGGGCTCTGATCATCCTTGTCCCAACTTACCTGCTCATGGCACAGAGGTTCCATGTTGGGGAAGGCAAACTGAGTGGACCAGAGGCTGCCGCCCCTGCCCCAGATCCTGCTCATAAAGCAGGATGTCACTCTCAGAGTTGTGAGCCACTGTCCCTGCCCTTAGCTCCACAACAGATACTCAGAGCTTACGCCCAGTCAATCCATAAGAACTGAGAGCTCCAAGGCTCTCACAAAAGGAACTGACTTTATTTGAGACAAAATGTGGGGACATTCAAACTTAAGAGTGCTCTGA